CGGGTGGGACGCGCGCGCTGGGGGCGGTGGCGGCAGCGAGACTGGTGGTCCTCGATGCCCCGGCACCGGAGGCCTCGGGTGGCGGTGGGGCGATAGTGAAGCTCGGGAACTCATACCTGAAGGGGTCACAGCTGCAGCTCCGTGAGCTGGACCTTCCAGGCCCGCCGATCCCCCCGCCACCTCTGCCTGGGCCTGTGCGTCATGGATGGCTCGATCCTGGGGGGCGGGGGGTCTCCTTAGCCTGAGAGGGGGCGGGCTGGGGATGACACGCGCGACACCTTTGGGAGTTGCCAGCGCAGCCTCCTCCAGTGCAGAGGAGGGACCTGGGCCGTGGCCGCCTCCCCGCCCCTCCCCACAAGCCCCGGGGAGACTTGATCTAAGAGGGGCTGTCACCGCCTATAGCCTATGCAGGAGATGGATGCTGTGTAACCCTCTGCAGGGAGGGAGGAAAAAAGGGAGGCATCTTGTCCTAGCACCCCTACAGCCTGCTTTATGACCTTGGGGGGCCGGTTCTGTATCCCAGCCTCCCTCATCTATAGATGGAGGCTGGCTGGGCTGCTCATTGCTAAGTCTACTGCTCTTGAGGTGCATAGAGGAACTCATCCTTACTCTAGGATAGAATCTAGGGTCCCTCACATGGACACACAGGGGAGAGGGGCTGGCCATTGATTAATGAGGAAAAGAGCGGGTATAGTTACCAGTGAGGATCAGCCCACCTAGCTCACCCTGAAAGGGCAACTTAGCACTTGGTTTTGGTTCAGTAAGTATGGGCAAATCTTGGAGATGGTGCTGGCCTGGTTGAGTGCCTGTTCTGGGGGATCTGGAATGGTCCCTATGGATACCTGTTTGCTTCAGGAGCAACCCAGGAAAGAAGGGGTAGATGTGAGGATCATGGTGAACCAGGGAAGGGCATCTTGGTGGACAGAGAGACCTGAAGGGCCTTGAAGTCAGTGGGTCCACTAAAGGGAAAGAGGGTAACTAGATGCAAGTGTGCACCTGTGTGCACAGGTGTATACACATGTCTTCTGCTCATCCATGTAGGTTCCCCTGGGTCTAGGACTTTTCTGAAGCTTCTAACTTTTCAAACTTCACCAATTCTGTCTTTGCTCATTCCCTTTCTTTGGATGGTGTCCTCTTCATCCTCACCCCTGATTCTGAATGTTGGCAGCACTGTGCCCTAGGGTTCAGGACCCCAGTGGAAATGAGGGTTGTGGTGACCCATGAGTTTTGTATGATGAAGCCATGGACTCCACCTTCTGAACATCCTGACCTGGGATGGGAAGTCAAGGGCAAGTGAACAGAGACTTTCTAGGGACTGATAGGCTGGGGGCAGGGTGGAAATGTCTGGAGAGGCAGGGAGCCCCCAGGGCCCGAGTTGCTGGAATACAAACTGACCTGCCCTGAGGTCTGGTTTTCAGAACATTTTGTTCTGAATCCTGAGTTATCAGGCTATGTTTGGCCCCTGCCCTGACTTGGGTGGGACGGAGGTGGGTATAGCCCATCATGGTGGGAAAACAGGGTGGCAGGAGTGTGAGGCAGCTGGTCACGTTGCATTCTCTGGTCTGGAGAATGCTGGTGCTCAGCTCACTTTCTCCTTTTTATTCAGTCCACGACTCCAGCCCTCTGAATGATGTCATCACATTTAGGGTAGATCCTCCCACCACAATTAACATAATCTAGAAACTCCCTCACAGATGAGCCTAGAGGCTGTGTGATTCTACATCTTGTCAAGTATACAACATTAACCATCAGAGTTGGTGGGTGGACTTGGATTTTATTCAGTGTCCTTTTGGGAGGCAGAGACTCTCTATTGCTTCTGGGGGTGGGTTTTGGTTTTCTGTACCTCTCCCTGAAGCTATGGGTGCTCTGACACTTGAGTTTTAAGAATCGATGTTCATGGCATTAACTACAGATCTTAGGGTCACTTCTTCATAAGTTGAGTGTGACTGTATGTCTGGGATGGGGGGATTCAGAGGGGAGCAAAAAGGGAACTTCCATTATCCCTCAGTTGAGTATTCTTGGGTAAAGAAAATGTAGTTCTGCCTAGGAAGAAAATTGGCCCAGGATGGGCTGAGCTGGGGTTACTATTCCAAAGCTCTGAGTTGTGTCTCTTCCTCCTCTTCTGTATATGGTATATGTGCATATACTTGTAGATGTGTACAAGTGTACATGTGGAGGGCAGAGGTCAACGTCAGGTATCTTCCTTAGTTGCTGTTTGAAACAGTTGCTGTTGAGACTCACTGAACCCAGAGTGTACAAATTTAGCTAGACTAGAACTGGGGAGATCCTCCTGTCTCCAACCTCTAGTGCTGGGACGCACACTGCTATGCCCAGCTTTTTTTCCTCTCTCACATGGGGGAGCTGGGAGACTGAACTCAGGTCCTCATGCTTGTGTGACAAGCACTTCCCCAAAGAGCCACCTCCCCAGTCCCAGCTTTCTTCTTTTCTTGGGCCCTTAATAGACAACAGCCTGGCCTGGGGGAAGTCTAAAGTTGCTGCCCAGGTGGTGGCCATACAGGAGTTAGTTCCGTGGGTGTCTAGGCTCAACTTGAGCTTGCAGTCTGAGGCCTTAGTGAGCAAAGTCCTCCTCTGGGTCCGAGGTGGGTGATGGTTGTAAAATTGCCTCTGAGTGTTCCCAGTGGCCCTAGATCTGGGGAACATAGCACAAGGCATGCATGTTTCTACCCTTCAGTTACCTGCCAACACCAAAGGGCCCTGAAGGGTTGGGACAGCCCTCTTAGGCCTAGTTTTTCAGACTAGGCCTTTGGGGAAGTGTATGAAGAGCCAGTGACAGGAAGGGAAACAAGATAGTCAAGATGGAGGTTGCTCATGGAAGTCAGGGTATTGTAGCCCATGGACTTGGGCAGGGATGCAGGGATGCCCAGAGTTCTGGCTGCTGAAGTGTGGGGTTTCTTTTATTTTGGCTTCTCATTTCATTTTGGTTCTGTGTGTGGGATATGTCTGTGTTTGTGCACATGTATGTATATTCATGTGAGGGTCAGAGGTCAACACTGGTGTCTTCAATTGTTCTCCATCTTATATTTTTCAAAATATTTATTGTTATGTGTATGAGTGTTTTGTCTGCATGTGTTATAAGTGTGCCATGTGTGTGTGCAGTGCCTATGGAGGCCAGAAAAGAGAGTTCAATACCTTGAAGGTGAAGTTACAGATGGTTGTGAGCTGCCATGTGGGTGCTGGGAACTGAACAGACAGTTCTTTTAACTACTGAGCCATTTCTCCATCCCCACCACCTTTTTTTGATACAGCATATCTCACTGAACCTGGAGTTCACTACTTTGGCCAGATTGGCTGGTCAGCAAGCCTCAGAGATCCTCTTGTCTCTGCCTCCCAGGGCTGGGATTATAGGTGCATGCCATCATGCCCATCTTTTATGCCAGTGCCTGGGATCAAATTCAGGTCTTCAGGCTTATAAAGTAGGTACTTTATCGAATGAGCACCTCCCCAGCTCCAAAATGTGGATTTTTAATTTTTTATTTTAATTTCATGTATATGAGTGTTTTGCCTGCATGTATATAAGTGCACCATGTGCATGTGGTGCCCAGGGAGGCCAGAAGAAAGCATCAGATCCTCTGGAACTGGATTTACAGACAGTTGTTAGCCACCATCTGGGCGCTAGGAACTGAACCCAGGTCCTCTGCAAGAACAGCCAGTGCTGAGCCATCACTATAGCTCCTCCAAAATGTGAATTTTAAAGAAACTGTCTGAACAGAAAGGGGATGGGGTGGGTAAGCCAGGCCAGAGAAGGTATTGTGTCCATGGGAACACCAGGCACAGGGGTCTGACTGTTCCCAAGGCCCTGGGCATCTTTACCTGCCTTGGTCTGGTTTTAGATGTCCTGAAATGTGCTAACCACTGGTTGAGCGGAGATGGTTCCAGTGTCTAATGTGACCTTGCATTTCAAGATCCTTTGGGATTTATGCTCTTGCTCTTGGGATGCCAGAGTGGCCCTCCTCACTTTGGAAGTGGTCCTGTTCAGATCTGAGACATTGTTAAAAAGAGCCATTGGAAATGAACTTGTTAGAACCACAGCAGGCCAGCAAGATGGCTCAACAGATAAAGGCACCTGCTGCCGAGCGTGAAGACCTGAGTTTGATCCCTGGGATCCACATGGTATAAGAAGAGAACTGATTCCTGCAAATTGTCTCTGACTTCCACATGTGTACCATAATGTGTGTCTGTGCACACATAAATCAATAAAATGTAATAAAAATATAACTGTCCAAGTGCTTGGGATCGCACCACAGCTGGTGAAGGACGCAGAACTAATTTGAGCCTGCGGGCTTGGTCCTAAAGGGATGGGAGTTGGGGTGCTGCAGCTGGGGTCTGTGACATCCTGGGGAAGGGGAGGACCTTGTGGACCTCTGAGGTGCTGATATTTCAGCCATTCTAATTCTCTGATTTGCAGACTTGAAGGACTGTATGTATGTCCCTCTGCTGGCTTAGTGATGAGCTGGTCATGGGTCTCCCTCTTCTTTCCTGAGAGGGCCTTAAACCTGCAGTTCTGGACCTTCTATGGGTAGAGGCTCTTGAATGGGGACAAGACTTTCGGTACCAGGCCCAGAGTATATGTTTTTTTCCGGGGCCTCATCCCTTTCCCAGCCCCCTGGAGGCAGCAAAAAAGCTGGCAGGAGAGTGATACCTGCTCAAGGCTCCATCTCTCTCTTGACTCACAGGAAAAGCCCAAGAGCTTGCTGACTGCTGGGAGCTCTCTCCTTTCCTCTGAAGAGACTCAGTGAGATGCCCTTCCAGTCCTGCACCCCTTGAGCCTTGCAGGTGCCTGCCGTCTGGCTGTGCCTGGGCGTGGTTCATGTGTGCGGAGGGCTGGGTAAGCTGCTCTTGATTTCTGTATAGAATGGGCTGCCCCTCATAGGTTACATTATCCATCCATAAAGATCCCTCAGACTGTGTTGGCTGCACTCCCTGCCTCTGGTCCTTGAGGTTAAAGACTTGGTTGGGATAATGGGTGACTCACCCAGGAACAGGTTGCAGGTACATTAGACATATGGCTTCTGGTGAGAGAACAGAAGCTATGTCCTAGAGGCTGGTGGGAGGAGCCCTTTGGGTGCCCTTTCTGGGCACACCACGTGCCAATTGCGTAGCCTGAGATGGCAGACTGAGCCCTGTCCTCCCTTATCCCTAGCAGCCTCCCTTGTACAGTGCCTCTGTGTTTCAGGCCACGTGGAGGCTCTCTCCCAGGGATGATGGCCGCACTTCACACAACTCCAGACTCCCCAGATACCCAGCTGGAGCAGGCAGAGGATGGGTCCGAATGTGATGCTGACCCCAAGGAGGAGGAAGAGGAGGAGGAGAAGGGTAGAGAGAAGGCAGAGGTAGAAGAGGAGAAAGAGGAGGAAGAGGAAGAGGTCATAGTGGAAGAGGAGGTGGCCACACAGGTGCAGGAGGTGGTAGAGGTGGAGGTGGAGGCTGACATGCTAGACACCATTGATGGTGATGATGATAATGTTGACGACGACGATGATGATGTGGAGGAGGTGTTGGCAGAGGAGTCAAGTCTGAGCTTGGAGACCCAGGAGCAGCTTAGCCATGGTGACACCAAGTCACTAGTTCTTCAGAGAAAGGGTAAGAACAAGGAGCCCACCCCTGCTAGGAGAAGTAAAGCATTGGGGTTGTGAGGGTGGAAGTAGACCTTGGGTGGCAAGCCCCGGATTCTGAAGTGTGGGTATAGCCTGGAACTCCACCCTGCTTGCCAGCTGGGCAGAGGATGGCTGGACCAGGTACTATTGGTCCCTAAGCAATGTTCCCCTCAGCCCTACAGGCCTCCCAGGTGTCTGTGGCTACTCAGGATGAAGATCTAGAAGAAGAGGAAGAGGAGGATGATGAGGAGGAGGAGGATTTCTTCACAGCTGGGTCTCAGGTAAGCTGCCCTTTGCATTTGAAGCTCAAGACATTAGCTAGCCTTCCCCCAGCTGGCCCTATACCTGTTGTCCTGGGCCTTCTGTGGATAGTGGCTTGAGTGGAGACAAGATTTCAGGTCCTCCCCAGGGCATATGGTTCTGCTTTCCTGAATCCCTCTCCCTTCCAAGGCACATTGTCCTGAGGGTTCTGGCCACCACCCACTCACCTGCACTGTTCACTGACTTCAGAGGCTTGGCTGTCCTTCAAGGTCAGTTGGAGCCCTCCCCCAGGATGACTGTCCTGTTCTTGGGGTCTGTTTTTCTGCTGTCCAGTCAGATCAGGCTTCAGTGCCCATACTCAGTTTAGTTGGTACTACCTGTCTACCCAGCCTTAAGCTGCTGTTGTGTCCACAGCATTTGCTGGGACCAAGCTGGGTGACATAGGAGGGGCCATGGTGGCTAGGGCCTCTGCCCTGTAAGAGCTGATGGTTTGGTTTCTCTGAGTCTAAGGACTTCATCTCTGGATTAGAGAAAGGTCCCTGCATTTCAGGGTTGGGTAAGGCCTGAGAGACCACAGTGCTACCTGGGCACCTGTAGACCCATTGACAATAGGATGCTGGACTGTGTCCCAATGAGATCCATGCTGCAGGCCCCAATACATTTTCTGACCTCTGTTTGCATGACTGTTGGAGGCAGGGGGGTCCCTTTAGCCCCTCACCTGGGGCACCTGAGGGCAGCACCTGGGGTTCTGTGTTCTTCAGGGGCTGGTAACTTTTGAAGATGTGGCTGTGTACTTCTCCCTGGAGGAATGGGAGAGGCTGGATGCAGACCAGCGAGATCTCTACCAGGAAGTTATGCAGGAGAACTATGGGATCCTGGTTTCCTTGGGTAAGGAAGGATCTTTTATCCCTTATGGCTGTCTGTTGTGGTTGGGCGACCAACAGTCACAGGCTTAGCTGTCTAAAGGGGTGCTTCTTGAGCCCCCAGAGTTTTGGAACAGGCTAGTTCTAGGACCAGCCCATGCCCATGGAGGTCCAGATCGCCCTTGTCTCTGGGTGGGGTAAGGTGGGTAACCCTGTTGGCCCACAGCCCCAGGAGCTTCTAGGTGGGAAGGGAACAGATGGGTGTCCTGCTGGTGAAGACTTGTCAGGAGGAGAGCTGGGTATGGAAGGCAAGGAATATTGAATATTCCAGGAGGAATAAGAATATTCCAGAGCACAGGAGTAGGAGAGGGCTGGTCCTGGAAGGGTAAAAAAGCAGAGGATTTGAGCATGGACAGGATAGTGCAGGGCTGGCTAGGACAGCTGTCTTCTGTTGCTGCAGCCGCCTTCTGTCCCTTCCTGAGCAGGGTACCCAATCCCCAAGCCGGATCTGATCTTCCACCTGGAACAAGGGGAAGAGCCTTGGGTCCCAGACAGCCCCCATCCTGAGGACGGAGACATTGTCACCGGTGTCTACACAGGTGAGATGAGTTTCTGCTAGCATGACTGCTTAGAGCTGTGCTCAGACTTGAGCCTTTACCATGCCGAGTACTCTGCAGACCTATACCTGGTCCCTTTGCCTCCAAAATGTCGTCGGTGGTGATGATTTGGGGTGTGGAGTGGGTATGTTGGCCCTTGCCTTCACCTCCTGAGTCCTCATGGTCCAGCCCCACAGAGCTTAAGGGCTGATAGGTCCTTAGAGAACCTTAAAAGGGGCTCCTTGTTCCCATCTTGGAACCTGTGACTTTTTATTCCCATAAATGAGGACAGCTGTCAAATTGGTACAGCCTTCTGCAAAAAGGACCCCATAGCCCCTCCATTCCCTCAGGAGCCGTTCACTTTGTCTCTTTGTTTTTTGTTTTGTTTTTGTCTTTTTTTTGAGAGAGGGTCTTCCTGTAGCCCCAGCTGTCCTGGAACTCACTAGGTAGACCAGGCTGGCTTCAAATTCAGCAAGTCACTTGCCTCTGCTTCCCAAGTGCTGGGATTAAAGGCATGTGCCACTATGCCCAGCTCATCCACCTTGTATTATTTTTATTTTATGTGTATGAGTGCCTGCATGTATGTGAGTGCACCTGTGTTGTGCAATGCTGTGGAGGTCAGAAGAGGGCTTTGGATTCCCCTGGAACTGGAGTTAAAGATGGTACATAGCCACCATGTGGATGCTGGGAATCGAACCCGGGTCCTCTGTAAGAGAGAGTAGTCAGTGCTCTTTAACCACTGAGCCATCTCTTCAGCCCCTCGTCCACCTTGTTTTATGAGACAGCCTCTCACTGGGGCTTGGGCTTAAAAATTAAGTTAGGCTGGCTGGCCAGGAAGCTCCAGGGACCCTATTTCTATCTCCTCAGCACTGCAGTTACAAGTGTATGCCACTACACCCATCTTTTTCTGTGGGTGCTGGGGACTGAACCCAGGTCTTCAGATTCTGGCCTCGGTAGGTGGTTCAAGGCTTTCTGGATGTATCTTGGGCAATGTGTACAGAAGGCATACTGGTGGGAACTTCTCTGGGTGTCTTGGACTGGCTCTGGCTGTGCCCCTTCAATTTTCTGAGCCCCACCTTATTCATAGGGAGAATAAAGAGTCCGAACTAAACCCATGGTTTCCAACCAGAGCATGTCCAGTTCATTGTCATGTTGAGTACTCTGTGGGGTCTGAAAGTCACACTAAGGTTCTGTAATGCTGGAGGTCCTTCCCTAGCATGTGTCTGGCTTGGGGTTGGGGCATCATCAGCCCAGGGTGGGGTACTGAGTCAAACTGGAGCCATTGTAGATGTATATTAAAAGTGAAAATACAGAAAAGCTCCCTCCAGCAACATTTCTATAAGCAGATTCTCACAGCAGCTTTGTGAGAGGTAGTGAGTACCCCTTAGCCTCCCTTCAGAGGAGTAAGGCAGCTTTTCAAGTAAGCTGTTATGGTGGTCGGCCAGTTCACAGCTCCCATCTGTGTGGTAGTATGGCTTCCTACTGAGATTCCAGCTCCCCCAAACCCTCCTGGGCTCTTTTCTGGGTCTCAGAGTCAGGAAGGTTCCACCTGCTGCCTCCAGGATGAGGCTCAGATGTGGGTGGTATTTCTCGGAGACTGGAGCTGGAGGTGGGTTCTATTAATGAACTCATACAGAAAAGCCACCTAGAAAGGACAGGACATGGGCCACTGTTGGCCGGTCTCTTGAGTGTGGATTCAAGATGTGCCTTCATGTTCTGTGCTCTTGAAGGGTCTTCGGGAAGAGCCTGGTACAGGCGTGAGCCTGGGTGGTCCTGAAAGGTGGTCTGGTCCCTTTCAGTGCAGGTGACACCAGGTGACATAGGGCATGTGGCAATGTACCTGGCTGGGGTTTGGGAGCTCCTTGAGAGAACTGGCTAGCTAGGCTGGTGCTCTTCTTCCCTTTCCCATGGCCAACCATGCTCTGTAGAGTAGGAACAGGCACAGGAGGCAGGCATATCTTTTCTTTTTAATCTCCACCCCCACCTCCCCGTGTGTGTGTGTGTGTGTGTGTGTGTGTGTGTGTGTGTGTGTGTGTGTGTGTGTGTTTGCATGAGTATGGTGTATGTGAAGTCAGAGGACAACCTTGGGGGTTGTTCCTTACCTTCCACTTTGATTGAGACAGTCTCTTTGTGGTTCATCATTGTATGTAGCTGGTTTGCTGCCCCCCAAGCTTCTTGGGAATTCTTGCCTTGGAATAGGAACACTGGGATTTTAGGCCTATGCTACTGTGCTCAGCTTTGCCTACTTTACCAACTGAGCCATCTCCCTGTCCCCCAGGCTTGTCTTTGATGTGTTACATGCCTTCTGGAAGGGGATGCAGATGTAGTGGCAAAGACTGGCAGCTGCTCCAGCAAAGCCAAACCCTCTGCAAAGCCAAACCCTCTGAGGTCTTTCTTCTTCTCTGAGGACAGCCTGTGGCTGAGTGGCTGCCTTCTCACTCTGCCTTTCCTTTTCATTTCTGCCCAGCAGAGCTAGTTGGGAACTGAGAGTTTCTGAGACATGAATTGTCCTGAAGCTGGCCATCAATACTTCTGTTCTTGCAAAATGAGATTTTTTTCCCTCTCCTGTGCCCTTTATGACTCAAGCCATACTTGGTACGTGGACTCTGACAACAGTCCCTCATTCAGATGTCACCACCCCCTAACATGACACTTAGTCCTGCTTGTCCCTCAGCCTGTGTTCTAGGTCTCCCGCCAACTGAGGGCCACCACTTCCAGCTCTGCATTCCTGGCATATCCTGCTTTCCTTTTCTCTTGACTGGCTCCCATCCCAGGGTCTTTGTTCCTCATGAATGTCCCCGTGTGGTCCCTGGAGAGATCTCTGCCCATGGTTGAACATTGTTTCCTGCCAGCCCCTGCTACTGGAACAGGGAATTCCGCTGGAGAGAGCATGTACTGGGTGGCTGTTGATGTCATGTTGGTGCCTCTTTCTCTTGGCCTGGCTGGTGGTCTGGCCCTGTATATTTGAGCACTTGACCTTTTGCTCTAAGACAGCTCCTGTCTTCTTTCCCCAAGACTTAATCTACTAGCAGCCTCCAGGGGCTACAGTGGTCATAGCAGAGCCTGACCCTGTGAGGGCAGCTGTCATTCCCTCTGTTGTAGGCTCTTGCCTTTCTCCTTTCCATTTTTTATTGATGTGTTGGGGTGTGCATGGAGGCCAGAGGTCAACTGTGGGTGTCATTCCTCAGGAGCCATTCACCTTGGTTTCTAGACAGGGACCTGGGTCTTGCTTATTGGGCCATACTGGCTGGCCAGCCTGCCCCAGGGGTCTGGTCTGTCTGTGCCTCCATGGTGCTGGGATTACAAGCCTGTGCTACTATATCTGACTTTTTACATGGGTGCAGAGGATTGAACTCAGGTCCTCATGCTTATGCAGCAAGCACTTTACCGACTGAGCCATCTCCTAGCCCCTTCTGCCCCCTTTCTAAAAGTGAAGAAGAGATATACAACACTCTGGACTGGACCAGCTTAAATTTACACAGGAAAGGATGGAGGTGTAGTTTAAAGGGCAATGAGAGGCAGACAGAATCTGATGACCAGCAAGTAAGCACAGCCAGGGGATCTGCAGGACCCCCACGTGTCCTGCCTTAAGCAAGACTGATCTCAAAGTGCAGACTGCCAGCCAGGACATTTAGCATCCATCTGGGTAAACCCAGCAACTGCTGCCCATTAGCTCACCTAGGCAGAAATTAGCAGAGGAAAAGGAGCTGTCTCTTAGCCAAGAGCAGTGTGTGTGCTCCCTTAGCAGGAAGAGGCTGGCACTCAGCTGTGAGCAACAGGGGGCATCTTAAAAGGCCACTTCATTCAGTTTCACCTAGCCATACCCTGAAGGGTACTTTGGATAGTAGAGTCCTCTTCTAGTCTTAGCCAAGGCACAAGGGGCTTAGATTCTGTTTCACCCTAGTCCCTCAGCTTGATGCAGGTGGAAGGGAAGAAGTGAGGGGACCCCCTGGCAGAGAAGCTGGCTTCTTAGTGTCTAGAACAAAGAGCCTGCTAAATTTCCAGGTGCTGGAGGCTGATGGGGTGGGAGGAGTACTGTTGTTCTCACAGACAATCTGTGATGAGGGCAGGCCTTGGCTCCTCTAACATGTGGGCCTTGGTTTTGAGTCTGCATATCACCATGAGGTCAGAGGCCAGAGAGTTGCTGGCCTTTCAGAGGTCACTCACCAGCAATAGGGGACAACCTAGTTTCTGTCCCCAAGGAAGGTTGTCTGCTTCCAGACCTGTTAGCTTGGCTAGGAGACAGATGACAGTGTAGAAGCTGGCTGCCTTCCCAAGCTGAAGCTCAGATGCCTCCCCGACAGCCCTAGGTGGGAAGTGGGGCTACTCACATCCCCAGACTTGGTACATCATTTTGGTATGCCTCTGTTCTTGGAGACTGTCCGTAGTAGGGGAAGGACTCTCACCGAGCCCATCTTGAGTTTGTGTCTGGAAGGACACTATCATAGTTCGTGTCTGTTTGGTGTTCTATATGTTTCTTGTATTTGTATGGGCATGTCTTTTGTCCTAGTTTGTTTCTCCATTGCTGTGACAAAATACTCTGACCGATACCAACTTGGGGAGGAAAGGGTTTATTTGTCTTACATCTCCTGAGTAACAGTTCATCAGGGAGCCCAAAGTAGGAACTCAGGGCAGGAACCTGGAGGCAGGAGCTGGAGCACAGGCCATGGAGGAACACTGCTTACTGGCTTGCTCCCTGGCCCCTGCTCAAGTCCACTTTCTTATGCAACACAGGCCCACCTGCCCAGGGGTGGTACCACCCACAGTGGGCTGGGCCCTCCCACATCACTCATCAAGAAGATGTCCTTCAGACATGGCCACAGGCCAGTCCAATAGAGGCAATTCCCCGATTATATGGTACCACCCACAGTGGACTGGGCCCTCCCACATCACTCAACAATCAAGAATATGTCTCATGGACTTGGCCACAGGCCAGTCCTATGGAGGCAATTCCCCAATTGAGGCTCCTCAACCCAGATATTTCAAGTTCACACTAAACCTATCTAGCACTGATATGTTGTGGGGTGGTGAGGTGTTCTAGTTTGTTTCTCCATTGCTGTGACAAAACACTTTGACCAATACCAACTTGGGGAGAAAAGGGTTTATTTGTCTTACAATTCCTGTGTCACAGTTTATCAGGGAGCCCAAGGTAGGAACTCAGGGCAGGAACCTGGAGGCAGGAGCTGGAGCACAGACCATGAAGGAACAGTGCTTACTGGCTTGCTCCCCTGTCCCCTGCTCAGCCTGCTTTCTTATACATACAACACAGGCCCACCTGTCCAGGGGTGACACCACTCACAGTGGACTGGGCCCTCGCACATCACTTGACAATCAAGAAGATGGCCAGAGGCCAGTCCAATGGAGGCAATTCCCAAATTGATGCTCCCTCAACCCAGGTGTGTCAAGTTGACACTAAAGCTGTCCAGCTCAGGAGGCATGAAAAGCGGGTGCTGGTCTTACAATGGGACAGACTGTCAAAGGGAAGAAAACAGCAATTCCACAGGGGGCTCAGGCGCCTTGACTCTCTGAAACTGCTGGTGATAGGCTGCATCTAAGAGAGCCAACACTCCACCTTGTAACCTCGGAGGGGCTCAGGGTACCAGGGGTGGGTGGGGTAAAGGGCCAGGGTTGGTGCACACAGTCCTTGGGGAACCAAGCAGACTGGGGGTATCAGACATGGGAGAATACCTGGGGTAGAGCACCATGGAACTGTGAGCTAGTATGTGTGGCTTTTTAAGTTTCCAGTACTGATTTGGAGTAAATCTCTAAGACCCACCTTGTCAGACATTATGACAAAAAGGCGGTGACCAGAAGGTGGCATTTGCACAGGTAGGAAGAACTGTGTAGTGACTGCCCACAGTCCCTAGGGTTTTAACTCATTCCCTTGACCCTGGCCTGCCAAGATGGCAACCTTCTTTGGGCTTTGCCTCCAGCAGTTCTTACCTGTTCCTTATGGTATGTGGGAAATGTTTCACCAAGGTCTGTCCCTGGCTCAGAACACAGGTTGTAAAGCTGTCCTTGTGGCTGTGCTATATAAATTCCTTCTAGACAGCTGGCTTTGAGCCCCACCTGCCTTTTCCTGGAGGCCTAGCTAATTACCCTTCAACTAAGGCCAGATCCTTGGAGCAAATGTTAGCTGCAAGGGATGAGAAAGCCAGCCCCCACCCCTGGTGGCCCCACCCCTACTTCCCTTGCCTTTGAGTCTGGATGTGCTGAAGCAGCTGGGTCTGGCCCTCAGGGTCACTGTTTGACTGCTGTCCACCCCACTGCCTTCTATTTGTTAAGGAACACTATACCCTTCAGGTCCAAGTATTCCATCCACCCCCAGGTGGTGTCTCACAGTACAGCCCACAAGTCCTCACTGGGGCCTAAGGAAGGCTTCAGCTCCCTGGGAGCTGCCCATGAAGTTACTCAGAATGGTACATTCCAGGACCATGACTTCCGAACTTTGAGCAAATACTTTCATAGAGAACAGAGCTTGTCTCCCTTAGGGTTCCCCACTCTCAGAGGCCCAGCAACTTCTGAGGTTTTATCTTGGGGTACAGCCAGCTCTGACTTTCCCAAGCTGTGAGGGGAAGGGTTCCTTTCCCTTACCCTGCATTAGAGGTGGCCTCCATCACATCACTGAGTTTAACCTGGGCCTCATGCTTGTTGTACAGTGACCACCCCAACTCCAGAGGTAGCAGTGAGGTCCTCAGCCTCTTTCAGCATTGTCCACTCTTCAGTTCTGTGTAGTGGGGTGGGGCTCACCTCCCAATCTTGCAGGCACCCCAGCTGCTCATAGGCTCTGGAAGGTGTTATGGGAACATTTAAGGCTCAACTCCAGCCACTCCAACCCTTAGCTCCTGGCACTACTAGGTCCTGAGAGTCACAGACTTCTGGCTCAAAAATCCCAGATTGCATTTGTTCCTCAATGTGGACTTCCCTGCCTTATAGGGCTCTAGTTAAAAACTGTGAACCCCTCACCAGAACCTCAGGTTAAGTCTGACCTGCGTGGCAGCTTGGCTTGCCTGTCCCCTGGCAAGCTTCTCCTCACCTCAGGGCTGCTCCTGCCTTCCCAGATTGGGAGACTTACGGCTGAACAATGAAGGACATCCAGCTTAGTAAAAGGACCTTCTTTCTGCCACTCACAGGGACATAGCCACTTCTGTCACTCTGGTGACAATGTTAGCAGCTCGTGGTAAAATCAGTTTAACCTTTTCACCGGAAGCTTGTTTACTCTGGTAGTATAATATTACTAGCTACAGAAAATTTAAAGTAGCTCATTTTCTTGTCCTCATGCTTCAGGTACATGCTTTATTCCCAGATGTAGCAGGGCAGCTGTCTGGCTTCACTGCACTTGATGTGTTGTGTCCATCCCTGTGACTCCAAGTCACCATCTAGAATGTCATGCAGAACAAGGGCCAGCAGGGTGCAGTATCCGACATGAGGAGCCAGCTCTGGTTTCTGAGACTTTCTGTGACCCTCCATTATTTCACTGGTCCAGGCGCTCGCCCAGGCTGGTGGCAGCAAAAATGGGCCAGAGCTTTGGCTTCAGAGCTAAGTGGGTGGGAGTTGTTTCCTACTCAGCTGTGGGAACTGAAACTTTCTAGTTGCTGGGATCTGAGGTGGACATGGCATACATGAGTAGGTAACACCTGGGGCCATTGTGGGCTAGGCAGTGTCCCTGTGTCCCCTGGGTGACTTGATGGCAGTTCCATACACGCTGGTTCCCTACTGGGTGCCTCCTAGTGGCAGGCTGTCAAAATGCTCATTTCATAAAACAAGGTAGCCTTACAGACAGTGACTCCAAAGCCCACACAGCCCCCTGGGAGGGGCCAAAGGGAGAGCCCGGGTGCTGGGAGGGACCAATGGCAAAGTTTCAGGGGGTGCTCACAGGACACCCATAGTCTCAGCACCTGGGGTTTCCTAAATGCAGACTTCAGGAAAATGAAATCCAGGAATGGTCTCTCAGGGGAAGGTCTTGAGAGCCTGCATGCCTGCTTCCAACCTGGGTGTTAGGCGGTCCCTAAGTCCTTGGTCACTGGTGGAAACCAGCAGAAAGGGTGTGGGTGCTGTGGCCCTGCCTGGGCTAGGTGCCTGGAGAGGGCACTGCACAGGTTTCATTCTACTGTCAATCATTTTCTGGGCACAGGATCCTGCAGACACTCCCATCTCCACAGAGTGGGAAGCCCTAGGGCTGTGTGAGCTGGAATAGAGGGACCCTGGTTTTCCTGGGCTAGTGTGCATGCCAGGCTGCCACGGAACCCCTCACTGAGGGAGGCCAGGGGCTTTCTTGCCTTGCAGCTGGTCAATACTGACTGGGGCATGGACAATCTTTACTGAAGTTTTGTCCTAAGCTCAGGGCACTGCAAGGGCTACCCTGGAGGCTGATTTCACTCCTGGGTTCCTGTCACATCCTCTTCTCTCTCCTGTCACCTTCAGGAGCCTGGTTCTGGACCGATGACATGGAGGACCACGAGGAAGAAGAGGATGAGGACTTCCTGGCAGAGATGGCCGAGGAGGAGAACGATCCCCCGGGGCTGTGGTCGGCTGCGTATGGAGTAGGGGACGTGCCTGGGACTTGGGGTCCTGACGACTCAGACTCTGTGCAGACTCTAGAGGGATGGGGACCGGACCAGGGCACTCTCGGGGTCCTGGCTGAGGAGGCTGAAGTGAAGTCATTCCTGTCTGGGCGGGAGGAAGGTGAGAACCTTCTAGCGCCCTGGGTGTTCCCCACAATGGTTGCCCCCATCGGACGCCCGGAGACCACTTGCGACGTGTGTGGCAAAGTGTTCCCGCACCGCTCGCGGCTGGCCAAACACCAGCGCTACCACGCGGCAGTCAAGCCCTTCGGCTGTGAGGAGTGTGGCAAGGGTTTCGTGTACCGATCGCACCTGGCCATCCACCAGCGCACGCACACTGGTGAGAAGCCTTTCCCGTGCCCGGACTGCGGCAAGCGCTTCGTCTACAAGTCACACCTGGTCACACACCGGCGCATCCACACTGGTGAGAGACCTTACCGCTGCGCCTTTTGCGGCGCGGGCTTCGGCCGCCGCTCCTACCTGGTGACCCATCAGCGCACGCACACCGGCGAGAGGCCATACCCTTGCCTGCACTGCGGCCGCAGCTTCAGCCAAAGCTCGGCGCTGGCACGCCACCAGGCCGTGCACACCGCCGACCGGCCCCACTGCTGCCCCGACTGTGGCCAGGCCTTCCGTCTGCGCGCGGACTTCCAGCGCCATCGCCGCGCCGGCTGCACGGAACGCAACAGTGGCGATGGCGCACGGGGGGAGCCCCACGAGATGGCAGACGCAGCTGCTGCCCCGATGGAGCCCGAGGAAGCGGAGCCCAGGCCGGAGGTGGCTAAAGAGCCTGCGGCTGGAGAAGCAGATGGAGACGGGGAGGCTGAAGCGAGGGAAGAGCAGGTGGCATCGGCGGCGGGTACCGAGGCGACTGTCCCCAAGAGCAAGGACTCTGAGTCAGACAGGCTGTTCGGCGAGATGGGCAATGGACTGGGAGAAGGGGAAGGTCCTTCCTTGCACCCGCTCGGCTTCCCCTTTCCCATGCACCCCAAGTCCTGGCTGCATCCGGATGGTTTCCCCTTGCTGGGGCTCCCCAAGTTCGCCGAACGGCTGCAGGCCGATGGGTGTCCCCTGCCGGGCCCCCTGTCCATGGGCGGCTCGGGGATGGCCTGTGATCCATTCCGCGGCGCGGGCCCGGGCGATGGCGGTCTTCACGCCTTCGCTCCCGCCGTAGGGGCGCTGCTGGCCGAGCCCGCGCCCGCCGCGTTGGCGGAGGAGGAGAGCCCATGGATCTGCTCCGACTGCGGCAAGACATTTGGGCGGCGCGCTGCGCTGGCCAAGCACCAGCGTTATCACGCGGGAGAGCGTCCGCACCGCTGCGCCGACTGCGGCAAGAGCTTCGTGTACGGCTCGCACCTGGCGCGGCACCGACGCACGCACACTGGCGAGCGGCCGTTCCCGTGCCCGGAGTGCGGGGCCCGCTTCGCCCGCGGCTCCCACCTGGCGGCTCACGTGCGAGGCCATACCGGCGAGAAGCCGTTCGTGTGTGGCGTGTGCGGCGCGGGCTTCAGCCGACGCGCGCACCTCACGGCACACGGGCGCGCGCATACAGGCGAGAGACCCTACGCATGCGCAGAGTGCGGCCGCCGCTTCGGGCAGAGCGCAGCACTTACTAGACACCAGTGGGCACACGCGGAGGAGAAGCCGCACCGCTGTCCCGACTGCGGCAAGGGCTTCGGCCACAGCTCGGACTTCAAGCGACACCGTCGCACCCATACCGGCGAGAAGCCGTTCCGCTGCGCCGACTGCGGCCGCGGCTTTGCGCAGCGCTCCAACCTCGCCAAACACCGGCGCGGGCACACGGGCGAGCGACCTTTCCCGTGCCCCGAGTGCGGCAAGCGCTTCTCCCAACGTTCGGTGCTCGTCACGCACCAGCGCACGCACACTGGCGAGCGGCCTTACGCATGCGCCAACTGCGGAAGGCGCTTCTCCCAGAGCTCGCATCTGCTCACTCACATGAAGACGCACCGCGGGCAGACGGGTGCGCCGGCACAGAATGCTACTTCCGCTTCCTCTTCCGCATCCAAAGCCCAGGTACCTGATAAGGTGCCGCAGCCACCGCCCAGCGCGAGTTCCGGCTCTGGGACGCTCCTGGAGTTCGCGGGCGGGACCAGCTTTGGTTCCGATGCGGCCGGGTTCGCGGGGCCCTCGGGTGCCTACGAGGAGAGCATCCTGTGAGGCCGGTCGAAGCGGCGCGCGCCGCCCTTGCTCCTCTGGCCTCGGAGGGCTGAGGATTCCCGGTCCTGGGTGCTTCGCGCCCTTTCTCTCGAGGTCTCGGGTCCTCAGATTTCGCTCGGGTGCACACGGTGCCCTGGCCACCACCCGGATCAAGACCGCCCCGTCCCCGGATCCGTGCCGCGGCGCGGGAGCGATGGCACTCCAGGCTCTTTCAGCTTGGATTTCGGTTCGCGTGGACCCGAGAGCAAGCGACTTAGGAGTTGGTCCCCGGACCTTCCAGTGAGTGGTGGTGAGGTCGTGAAGAGCATCCCGCAGCTCTACTCGACATCTGGGCGTTCCTGATGGGTTTGGCCGACTTCTGTCCATCCTCACTGGAGAGATTCAGGGACCTTCTTCCGGTCATTCGAGTGCAGCCAGTATGTTTTAAGAACCATCCTCGTGGCAAAGGGGAGCCTTAGCAGTTTCCAGGGGGGAATGGAGACGTGAAGAGAGAAAGCTTTTTTTCTGTCGACTGTGGGTATTTATTTCCATCTCTGATAATGGCCTGAAGAGAGTGGGGAGGAATTAAAACAAAGCAAGATACCAAATGGGTAGTCAGTTTGCAGATATTGGTAAGGCCTTCAGGGAGTTGGAAGCCTTATTCTCTGAAAGTTCTCACTCCAAACCCCTACGCACTGGCAAGTGGGGTTTGGTATCAGCCTCCCCTAATAAGCCAGTTGGTTCTCTAGTGGCTGGAGGTGGCAAACACAGACATCTTTGGGGTAACTGGTGCGGGATCCTACACTCTGGGTCCACCAATGTCAGTTTCCCAGCTGCTGCGGCCCATGGAGCACATGGGCACCAAGCCCAAACTCGGCCTTTTATAGCATCAGGGTGGGTCCTTGGATCTCCCCACTCATTTTAGAATTAGGGCCCTATATCCTTCTCAAGTTCTTAAACTCTGCTTCCATAACCCTATTCTAGGAGCAGGTAGTGTTTCTGACTAGACCCCCATTCCTGGGTGGGCCCGTGGCTCACAGAGGGCATGGTGACTTGCACAGTGGCTGTCCACATAAGGCATTGTGTGGACCAAGCTCACAGCACCTGACTATGCAATGCTCCTACTCGGTGGACAACTGACTCTCCAGTCTAGCTGTTGGAATTTAAGGTGTGGATCAGGTTAGGTCCCCTGTCCCTTCATGCCTTGGGCTCCAGTGTGGTGGGGACTAGAGAAGTGAGATTTCCAGGCATCTGCATTCCTTTTTAGACCTAGATCCTTCATTTTAGTGTAGACAGGCTCCTGGGGGTGCTGAGAACCAACAACCAGGCTGCTAGGTGATGGGTCGGGTAGGTTGTGGGTGGGAGGAGAGTCTGGGTGGTGTTGGTAAGAAGGTTCACTGGACCAGGTGAGGTTGTGGAGTAGAGGAGGGCCTGGGGACCTAGAATTGCTCTACCATGGCCTTGCCATCCAGTTTTCTTCATGTCTTTTGGGACTGGAATTTCAGAAAGAGCCATGGCAGGGTGACCTGGGGGAGTCCCATCCCTGTCCTTTCTGGTCCCCAGCTTCTTCCACCTCTGCTGGTAGCAGGAGGACCTAGCTTTAATAAAGACAGAGAAAGAAGTTTTGTGAATGAATGCATTCTGTGCTGCTGCCCTCCTTGGGGCCTCTCAGGGATGATTTTTGTGCAAGGGTTTAAGCCCATCTCCTTTTCAATCACACATTTTCTTCTGACAAACTAGAATCTGTCTCAGTGTGGCCCATCATGAATTGAGCTCTGGGCTGCCTGTGCCCAGCAAGTCTTGCTGGAACACCCCACACTACTGCACTATTGGAATGCACACACTGAATGGGACATTACTGTGGAATTTTGGCTAACCAAAGTTTAAACAGAAGGGCCAGACCCCCTTTTGGGGGTGCACATCCAGGCCTCTACATTTCCTCAGGTGCCCCAATGCTATGAGGGTCTACCGAAGTCCAAGTCATCAAAGGCACAAGCACCCCAGGGTATCTGAATACCTTTCTTTAAGGTGGGTGGGTACCAGTTGTGGGGGTGCATCCCTTTAATCCTAGTACTCAGGAAGCAGCAGGCAGATCTCTCTGAGTTTGAAGCTAGCCTAGTCTACAAAGCAAGTTCTAGGCCAGCCAGGGGTACAGGGAGACCCTGTCTTCAAAAACAAATGGGGCTGGAGAGATGGCTCCCCAGCTAAGAGACTGCTCTTGCAGAGGACCCAAGTTTGGTTCCTAGCACCCACATGGCAACTAACAACCATCTGTAACTCCAGTTCCAGGGGATCCAATGTCCTCTTCTGACTGTTGGGCATTTTATGACGTGGGTGCACTTAGATACATTCAGGCAATACACTTATAAAACAAAAATAATATATATGTATTTTTAAAAACCAACACAAAGGCCTGAACCTCACTGAGGGCCAGATTTGCTTCATTTGTATCCTTGTTTCATCCTGTAACTCCAGACATATTTTCCATCATCTATAACAATTTGAATGTGTGTCTGTACTTTGAGGCCAGAGGTTGATGTCAGGAAACATCCTTCTCTCTTCCACCTTATTCACTGATACAAGATTTCTCAACTCCAGAGCTCACTCATATGGCTAGTTTTGCCAGCCAGCTTGCTCTGGCAATCCTGTGTCTCTGCCTTTCTAGGCTGGAATTAAAGCCGGCATTTACACATGTATTTAGGAATCTGAACTCTGATCCTCACACCTGTGTGCCAAGCGCTTAACTACTAAGCCATCTCCCCAGTCCCAAAATGAGTTCTTTAGTATCCTCCAAAAATATAAAGAGTTGATTTTCTTTATTTAAAAATGTTTTTTATGTGTATGAGTGTTTGCATGCATGTATATGCACCGTGTGTATGCAGTGACTGAGGATGACAGAGGGCATCTAATACCCTCGAGCTGGAGTTACAGATGGTTGTTTGCTGCCATGTGGATGCTGGGAACCTAACCAAGGTCCTTTGCAAGAGCAGCAATTGCCGTCATCTTCCCAACCCCCCAAGTTGAATTTTTAAAAAATTATTTTATTATTTTTATTTTACGTGCATAAGTGTGTTGCTTGCATGTATATAAGTTGTGCAATGCCTGAGGAGGTCAGAAGGAGACATTGGATTCCCCTGGAATTGGATTTACAGTGTTAGCTGCTGTATGGGTTCTTGAAATTGAACCCAGGTCCTCTGTAAGAGCAGCCAGTGCTCTTAACTGCTGAGCCAATGCTCCAGCCCCAAGTTGATTTCTTTTTAAATATCATTTCAGGGGCTGGGAGATAGCTCAGAGGGGGCGCATGCCTTTAATCCCATCACTAGGAAGGCAGAGGCAGGGGCAGGCAGATCTCTGTGAGTTCAAGGCTAGTCCGGTCTACATAGTGAGTTCCAGGACAGCTGGGGCTATAGGGAGACCCTGTCTCAAAAATACAGGAAAAAAAAAAAGCACTGACTGTTCTTGCAGAGGACCTGGGTTCAAGTCCCAGCATCCACATGGTGACTGATAACCATCTGTAACTCCAGTTCCAAGGGAATCCGACGCATTCTTCTGATCTCTTTGGGCATTGCATTACACGACACCAGTGTGCTTACACACATGCAGGCAGTACACTCATACACATATAAATAGTTAAAAAAATTATTTTAGCCAGGCGTGGTGGCACACGCCTTTAATCCCAGCACTCAGGAGGCAGAGGAAGGCAGCTCTCTCTGAGTTCAAGGCCAGCCTGGTCTACATAGTGAGTTCCAGGCCAGCTGGGGCTACTGGGAGACTCTGTCTCAAAAAAAAAAAGACAAAAAAAGATCATTTCAAACTATTGGATATATGTTCATGAGTGGGGGTGCATATGTCTGTGTGAGTGTGCATGTTGGGGGTTGCATATATGTACATTGCGTGTGGAGGTCTGAAGATTTCAGGTACAAGTAATCCACCTTGTTTTTTAAGTGTTTGGATTTTTAAATTTTTTTTTGGTCTTTTTGAGACAGGGTCTCTCTGTAGCCCCAGCTGTCCTGGAACTCACTATGTAGACCAGGCTGGCCTCGACACAAAGATCCACCTGCCTCTGCCTCCCAAGTGCTGGGATTAAAGGCGTGCACCACCATGCCTGACTGATTTTTTAATTTTTAAAAAATTTTGGGTAGGAGTATTCTGCTGCTTGTATGTATGTGCCCCCATGTGTGTGCAATGCCCTCAGAGGCCAGAACCTCATCCTATAACCTGGATGCGGAGTTATGGATGTGATTAGCTGCTATGTGGGTGCTGGAATTGAACCCGGGTCCTCTGCAAAAGTAGCCAGTGCTCTTAACTGCTGAACCATCTCTCCAGTCCTTGTTTTTTGACACCGTGTCTTCACTGAGACTTGCAGCTAGCTGGCTAGGCTGGACTGGCTGGCCAGTAGCCTCAAAGGATCCTCCTGTCTCTGCCTCTCTAGTGATGAGATTACAAGCATGCACCACCACCCCCAGCTTTTTCCAGGGGTTCTGGGAATTGAACTCCAGTCCTCAAATGTGTGGCAAACACTACCAAACTGGGCTATTTCGCCAGCCCTAAGTATAATGCTTTTAAAATGTTTTTATGTGCCAGGTATGGTGGTGCACACCTTTCATCTCAGCACTCAGAAGGCAGAGGCAGGTGGATATCTGTGAGATTGAGGCCAGCCTGGTCTATATAGCAAGTTCCAGGCCAGCTGGGGCTACAGGGAGATACTGTTTAAAAAAAAACCAAAAAAAAAAAAAAAAAACCAACCCCCAAACAACTGGGCTGTAGGGATGGCACAGCCGTCAAAGGCTAAGGTTAACAACCAAAATGTAAAAACCAAACAACAACAAAACAAAATGTTTTCAAGCAACTGGAGAGATGCTTAGTGGTTAAGTGCACTGGCTGCTATTAGAGAGAACCTAGGTTTGGTTACCAGCACCCACATGGCAGCTAAAAACCATCCCTAACTCCAGTTCTAGGGCATTTGATGCCCTATTCTGACCCCCGTGAGCATTGAATGATACGGTGCACTTACATACATGCAGACAAAACACTCATACACATAAGACAGAAATAAAAACGTTTTTAAAGCATTTTTCAAATTTGTTTATTCATTTGCTTATGTGTTTACAAGTATAAAAATGTGTATGCTGTGGCCCACGAGTGACAATTTCTGGG